AAAAGTATCAAGCTTTAACTATTTACAGTTACATTGTACTTAATACATTAATACTGTGTATAGTTAACAACTTTTGGTCAGTTGGCACGAGCTCTTGCTTTACCACAAAATCTTAATGCAAATGTGTTTTAAAAACTTTTATTTTTATTTTAATTTAATGGCAGAAAACTATATAATTATTATAATATACGTAACAAACGCTTACCATTAAAACAAATCGACAGTTACTTAATAATTGTATCAACGATTTGTTCAATTATGAGGTCAAGGCTTTATAGGTTAGCAATGGATTTGAAAAGTAAGTTATAGTAAGTCTGATATGAGTTGGAGAAACATTAACCCCACGTGAAAAAAGTTAACTACTTTTTCGGGTCAAAAACAGGCTTTAAAAGCCGATAAACAATGAGGACAACCAATGCTAAGCTAACGATGACCTCAAACGCCAAACCCAATATATTTTCGACAAACTTTTCGCAAAACTTTTAATTCAGACGTAAACAAAGGAAAAGAAAAGTTATTTTAAAACACAAGCGTTTTTCTGTTCTTGAACTCAATATTTTTGTGCAATAATTTTCATTAATTTCGTTGCAATTTATATATAATTTGTAAAAATATATTTTTTAGATCAAAATGCAAGCAATCACTCAATTGTGTGTAATTATGATGTTTGGGACCTTAGGCACAGTCATGTCGTGGCCCAGCGGTGCCCCCGGTATGTCATCTCAATTTTTATTACTTATTTGAAGAAAAATGATTTATCAAAACTTTACCTAAAGTAAAATGAATTTAAATCAATGTTTTCCAACAAAATATCTGTCAAGAGTTAAGATATACATGTAAATAGGAATTAATTGATATTAAACTAAAAATTGTATTAAAATTATTTTCAGAATCGGTTTGTAATACATTGTTACCAAAACACGGGGAAAGTCAGGCGCGAGGGGCCGAGTCGTCGCCCTATAACTTAGTTCAATCACATCAGGACTATATCGGAGGCGATAGAATCAAAGGTAAATTAAATCGAAACATGTTTTCGACTCAAATTTGTTTTAATTAAAACATGAATAAATTGCTGTTTAGTTACGTTGAGTGCACCGCAGGGACACTCATTCAGAGGATTGATAGTCCAGGCATACGATCCCCACACAAACGCCGGTAATTGAGTACATTTTGCAACAAGTTTTAAATGAAATGAAATTAACACAAATGTTT